AACCACTTCACTTCCCACCTATAAACTAGGAGTCGATGCAAACCAGTCCCGAAACATCATTTCTCATTTGACAGGGGCGACTCCCATGCTAAACATACTAAGACTTCAGTTCACCGTGTTCAGAAGACTCTTCATTTTCTCAGCCTGTTGATCCACAATGACTATATCATCTACAAACACTAAATGAACAAATCTATTCTCAAGTTACAAGTCGATTCTTAATTCACTAAAGTCGATCAGAGTGACATCTATCACTAAATCCATGAAGACATCAAACACAAGCCAAGTCAATGGCCATCCTTGATGAACACCAGTGGTTGTCATCAGTTCAGGTAATAACTGTCCCTGATTTCAACACAGTGGCATGAGTTCGAGTAGAGTGAGGGACTTGATTAGTGCAATAAACATTTTCGACACCACCTTCACAGTTATACAATGCCACAATACTTCTCAGTTGATAGAGTCAAATGCTGCCTTCATGTTCTTGTTTTGTGCTTCATGGTTTAATTACACAGCTTTCATTGCCTTTCTAAGCAACATCTTCAGTGCTAAGTCCAAGTTGAAGTGAGCTTTTGGAATCCTCTCTGAATGAAATAACCTGCTCTCCTCATCAACTTGGACCTTATTGCTTGTCCTCAGTATTATTCTCATACTCATGTCCAGCTGTATTGATGTTAGTCATTGTGATGACGTGATATTTGAACTCCTTATAAATCACAACACTCGGATGAATCCACAGTCCACAGACATAAAAATACAGGCCAAAAGTAATGCGGTTAGTCGCCTAACCACAACTGGCTAGTACGATGAATCTACGAAATTCACCTAATACTTGTCACGAGATTCTTCGGCTGATTCTCGTGGACTTTCTGGTGCTCTGAGAGCTTGGCAGGAAAGCTCACTAGTGGATCAGTTTCAACTGAACAGTCAGTCGTATGTGTATTGTCCAGCTGAAGGGACTTGTGAAAAGACGGAGAGATTGTTCAGCTAACAGTTATCCTCCCAAAATCCTACCCTACACGCCAACTGACTGGATTTTCGGAGAAGTGAAAAGAGCTGTCTAGTTTAACGCTGAAGAGACAGAAGAGGTATCAGTGTTAAGAAATACCAGACACTAATTTGGATTTATTGGGGTAACAATTTGTAAGAAGAGAATGTTAGGTAAGTCGACCTCCGAGAAGAATGGTATTGTGATTACTTCTCAGGAGAGATGACTGTAACGATGGAGGGACCACATTGAAGAGCAATTCAACTGGCTTACAACCACTCCAAATCTGTCCAGAACCCAACACCTACCTGATTAGGATATAGACATCGGGCGTCCAACTCTAAATAGGGTTGAAAAAGTTGTCCCAAGTCTTAGACGAGACATAGCCAGATGAGCTGACAGTTTCACTCCAAAGGTGTTTGAAGCTGATGTTTGTGAATTATGCCACTCATAGGTAGCTGCATATCATATCTACGCCAGATATGGCGTAAGGCGACCAATGTCATTTGGGTCTTTTTCATGTGTGCTGAGATTTCGTCAGCGATCAGTACATTAGGCCAGACCGAACCTCCCAAATAAGTGAAATGTCAACGCATTCAACCACTTCACTTCCCACCTATAAACTAGGAGTCGATGCAAACCAGTCCCGAAACATCATTTCTCATTTGACAGGGGCGACTCCCATGCTAAACATACTAAGACTTCAGTTCACCGTGTTCAGAAGACTCTTCATTTTCTCAGCCTGTTGATCCACAATGACTATATCATCTACAAACACTAAATGAACAAATCTATTCTCAAGTTACAAGTCGATTCTTAATTCACTAAAGTCGATCAGAGTGACATCTATCACTAAATCCATGAAGACATCAAACACAAGCCAAGTCAATGGCCATCCTTGATGAACACCAGTGGTTGTCATCAGTTCAGGTAATAACTGTCCCTGATTTCAACACAGTGGCATGAGTTCGAGTAGAGTGAGGGACTTGATTAGTGCAATAAACATTTTCGACACCACCTTCACAGTTATACAATGCCACAATACTTCTCAGTTGATAGAGTCAAATGCTGCCTTCATGTTCTTGTTTTGTGCTTCATGGTTTAATTACACAGCTTTCATTGCCTTTCTAAGCAACATCTTCAGTGCTAAGTCCAAGTTGAAGTGAGCTTTTGGAATCCTCTCTGAATGAAATAACCTGCTCTCCTCATCAACTTGGACCTTATTGCTTGTCCTCAGTATTATTCTCATACTCATGTCCAGCTGTATTGATGTTAGTCATTGTGATGACGTGATATTTGAACTCCTTATAAATCACAACACTCGGATGAATCCACAGTCCACAGACATAAAAATACAGGCCAAAAGTAATGCGGTTAGTCGCCTAACCACAACTGGCTAGTACGATGAATCTACGAAATTCACCTTATACTTGTCACGAGATTCTTCGGCTGATTCTCGTGGACTTTCTGGTGCTCTGAGAGCTTGGCAGGAAAGCTCACTAGTGGATCAGTTTCAACTGAACAGTCAGTCGTATGTGTATTGTCCAGCTGAAGGGACTTGTGAAAAGACGGAGAGATTGTTCAGCTAACAGTTATCCTCCCAAAATCCTACCCTACACGCCAACTGACTGGATTTTCGGAGAAGTGAAAAGAGCTGTCTAGTTTAACGCTGAAGAGACAGAAGAGGTATCAGTGTTAAGAAATACCAGACACTAATTTGGATTTATTGGGGTAACAATTTGTAAGAAGAGAATGTTAGGTAAGTCGACCTCCGAGAAGAATGGTATTGTGATTACTTCTCAGGAGAGATGACTGTAACGATGGAGGGACCACATTGAAGAGCAATTCAACTGGCTTACAACCACTCCAAATCTGTCCAGAACCCAACACCTACCTGATTAGGATATAGACATCGGGCGTCCAACTCTAAATAGGGTTGAAAAAGTTGTCCCAAGTCTTAGACGAGACATAGCCAGATGAGCTGACAGTTTCACTCCAAAGGTGTTTGAAGCTGATGTTTGTGAATTATGCCACTCATAGGTAGCTGCATATCATATCTACGCCAGATATGGCGTAAGGCGACCAATGTCATTTGGGTCTTTTTCATGTGTGCTGAGATTTCGTCAGCGATCAGTACATTAGGCCAGACCGAACCTCCCAAATAAGTGAAATGTCAACGCATTCAACCACTTCACTTCCCACCTATAAACTAGGAGTCGATGCAAACCAGTCCCGAAACATCATTTCTCATTTGACAGGGGCGACTCCCATGCTAAACATACTAAGACTTCAGTTCACCGTGTTCAGAAGACTCTTCATTTTCTCAGCCTGTTGATCCACAATGACTATATCATCTACAAACATTAAATGAACAAATCTATTCTCAAGTTACAAGTCGATTCTTAATTCACTAAAGTCGATCAGAGTGACATCTATCACTAAATCCATGAAGACATCAAACACAAGCCAAGTCAATGGCCATCCTTGATGAACACCAGTGGTTGTCATCAGTTCAGGTAATAACTGTCCCTGATTTCAACACAGTGGCATGAGTTCGAGTAGAGTGAGGGACTTGATTAGTGCAATAAACATTTTCAACACCACCTTCACAGTTATACAATGCCACAATACTTCTCAGTTGATAGAGTCAAATGCTGCCTTCATGTTCTTGTTTTGTGCTTCATGGTTTAATTACACAGCTTTCATTGCCTTTCTAAGCAACATCTTCAGTGCTAAGTCCAAGTTGAAGTGAGCTTTTGGAATCCTCTCTGAATGAAATAACCTGCTCTCCTCATCAACTTGGACCTTATTGCTTGTCCTCAGTATTATTCTCATACTCATGTCCAGCTGTATTGATGTTAGTCATTGTGATGACGTGATATTTGAACTCCTTATAAATCACAACACTCGGATGAATCCACAGTCCACAGACATAAAAATACAGGCCAAAAGTAATGCGGTTAGTCGCCTAACCACAACTGGCTAGTACGATGAATCTACGAAATTCACCTAATACTTGTCACGAGATTCTTCGGCTGATTCTCGTGGACTTTCTGGTGCTCTGAGAGCTTGGCAGGAAAGCTCACTAGTGGATCAGTTTCAACTGAACAGTCAGTCGTATGTGTATTGTCCAGCTGAAGGGACTTGTGAAAAGACGGAGAGATTGTTCAGCTAACAGTTATCCTCCCAAAATCCTACCCTACACGCCAACTGACTGGATTTTCGGAGAAGTGAAAAGAGCTGTCTAGTTTAACGCTGAAGAGACAGAAGAGGTATCAGTGTTAAGAAATACCAGACACTAATTTGGATTTATTGGGGTAACAATTTGTAAGAAGAGAATGTTAGGTAAGTCGACCTCCGAGAAGAATGGTATTGTGATTACTTCTCAGGAGAGATGACTGTTACCTTTGAGTTACCTTTTTTTATCCGTTTTGGTAATTGTGTGCTCTAGCTCAGGATAAATTACGGACTTGGGATTTTCAGGGGAATATGCTTTAGTTTTCACTATAGCTCTCACAATCATGCACTGTGTTTGACGAATAAGATTCTCAACATGTGAGAGACTTTTGTAAACCGTTGTCCCCTTTACTTCTATAGTGATGATCAAATGGCCAGGAACAATTCGTACAAATTAATTCTGGCAACTAAATATCCAGGAGGTGATCGCCTAACAAATATGTAGGAGAAAGTGGAGATGGTTCGGGAAAACATTGAGGAGCCCGGCGAATGACGTCGCAATCCAGGCCATTGCTCGGGTGAAATCCCAATGGGAGGTGACGGGTGGATTCTAGGTACGAAGAAGAGATGATATATTATGGGAATCGTGGACCCGGCTGAAGAGGACGGCAGAAAATAGAAGAAAGCGGATATGTGTTGTTTAAGCCGGATTTCCGTTCACGAACCCACGTTATTTTTTCTTCGTTATGATGCATTATTAGTTAGTTCTTGGCTTTACTCATTAATATATAAGAGAATTGAAACTATATTATAGAAATATTTATGACTCTATCACCTTAGCTGAGTAGTTTTCGTGGTCGCTCTGAGATTAACTTTCATTAACGCCAACAAAGATAAACGTAGTTTACTTTTTCTTTCTTCCAGAGAGTTTTTTTCTAATTCCAACTTTTTTTGTCTTGTCTTCAATTCTCTGGCTTGTGTTTTAGATTCTGTCAATGAATTACCAAGCGTTTTTATTTTCTCACACATCAGAGAATATTCTTCATTCCATTGACTTTCAAACTAGTAATATGAAAACAAACGGTAATTAAGATGAAAAACAAAACAGGGCTATGATTAATCTCTTCATCGTTAAAACATCTTTGAGTAATGGAAATAAGTTTAAATAGTGAGCTTACTATGCTGAAAATCACTTTCATTACTGATGATCTTATCAAACAAGGGACTTATGGAATATTAGGAAGAGATGAGAAATGGTCCTACTCCAAAACAGAAGTTCTCAAACACCCATACCTAATCACGTAGGTGTTATTATTATTATTATTATTATTATGAGATAACTGAAATTAGAGAACGGAGATTTCCAAAATAATTGTTAAATTCTTCAAACGAATTCTGTTTCAGTTTCTTAGACAGAATACGCGAAGTATTTGTGACAAACATTAAATCCAAAGTTGTAAACCTTCAAATTATTCCTTAACACCTTTGCAGTTGTCTTCTAGTTTTACAGACTGCATAATTATGAAACTGTTTGATGCATACTAGATACTGAGATTTAATTATTTTATTATAAGTGTGACTAAGATAACCTTAGTTTGACAGATTAACTTCAATGTAACGCGTTGAAAACTGAAGTGGAAAGAATCTCAGCAGATTCAAAACCCAAAAATCTTTGGTTCTGTCCTCTTGGAAAATAAGGCATTTTTGTATGTAGGTATGTATTATATCCTTTCTGATATCCTTTACTGGTTATGTAATTCTCTTATGTTTTCCTGGTACATTTATTAGTCGCACAACTAAAGTCTGGACTGAATCTTACCCCAAAGTTCAATATAAAGGCTTGTATATCTTAGAAAACATTTTCTCATGTGTTAATCTAACCAGTTGGCTATCTACTATATCAATCCGTCTTTATTCGCTTATTTTGTGCTAGCCTTGCTTTCTTTTATTTAAAGTAATGTTTAACTATACATGAAGGAGTGAAGAAAAGTTAACAAAAAATAGTTTTGTAACCGTTATCCATACATATTAAAAAATTATCTAATTATTTCTTATGTGTAAATTCTAAAGGATAAAGCATTCGAATTTTATTCACTTAGAAAGGAAATAATTTTTTTTACCAGTTGATCACGCATTGATATCAGTTAGAGAACCATTGAAAACCAGGATGAAGTTTCCTGGAGTTCTAGTGAGAAGTCGTGACCAGTGAAGTTCATCCAGATGTCACGTGTGAGGATGGATGTCCCACCGACGACACTGGTTGGAGTTGCGCTGAATCACAAATTGGTAGAAGTTAGAATTCATGAGCGATTGAATCGGGTCCCAGTGGCTGAATGGTATACGAGCTTGCCTTATAACTGGAAGGTCCTTGGTTCGAATCCCAGTGGGTGGGTGAGTACTGTCGACGAATCCCAAGCTAGGATGAAACAGCTGTCCAGTACTCCCTGGTTTTCAATGGTTCTCTAACTGATATCAATCCGTGATCAACTCGTAAAAACGTAACTAACCTTTACAAACCAAATTATAGGAAATAATTATGACAAAGCAATAAGAAGACATGATTTGTCTTAATCGTGTAATGTATTTGAGCAACACATTTAGAACAATCTGATCACACACGGACTTGTCATAGGAATATATATGAAATTAATAAAGAGGTAAGAGGTGAGAAAATAGACTTAGGTCAAGTTAAAAGGACATGTTCAGGGTCAAAATAACAGTGAAGATCACTAGCAGAGGTAATAGTACATCTGCTATGGTATGAGAACAAAATTTACCAAGGAAGGTTTGATGGGATGACGAATTGTTTTTGAACGCATAAAGGTGGTTTAAACTTTCTAATTGCTAGGGCTTCCACAAACTCAGGAAAGCTAAAGCAGACAGTAAATGGGATGTAGGAATACTACTGTTGTAACAACAGAAGGCAATACACAGAAGCCAAAGTATATTTTTCACTAATGACGACATGAAATAGAACGTTCAAATACATATGTTGTATTCTGTTGCTAATGCCGAATTGAACTGCGAGAATATGTGAGCATAATATTCCGTTGGTCTACCTTGTCTGTATAATACCACCAGACTTTTAATGATGGTAATCAGATTAATATCAGACTGAATCGAGTATAACATGACTCACTATGTGAGACAAGTTTCACAGGTGTAATTTGCCGAATATCATTCAAACAAAATAAATAGCTACTCTCTATTATTCGTCTTCCTGAAATTCAAATTTAACTAAGAAGAGCTCTGTGGAGGGTATACATATTATATTAAACTTAAGGCTGTTGTATTCAAAATTGGTACAAAAATGATTTATTTTAAGGTAGTCATAGCGTCAAACAACAACGAGATTATAACTTTGACTGATAGTACAAATTATATTGCTAGGCTGTTCAAATAACACTGATATAAATCTGTTCAAATTTCAGTCCACTTGAAGTTCTGTTTTACTGAATAACCTAAAATAAGCTCATTTTTTCTATGAAGGTCAACAAACACCTGGGTATACTTTTGTACATTTAAGGCAGGGAAACGAGAGCTAGAAAATTTTATCTGGCAGTATAGCTACACTGTCAATGCTAGGAAGTTTCATGAAAAACTGTATAGTTACGTTTGTTGCTTATCCTGATTGCAGAAATTACCACTCCAGTATTTTATTGCTTTGAGGACTAATTTGTACAACCCAATGTGAGGAAAAATGTTACAATGCTCGCATAATCGACTGCATAGTTAATTGGCCTCCACTTTCCATGTCATTCTTATTCTGATATTTCTATAACAAAGGATATTTCTTATTTTGCTGTATTATTTGAGTTGCTCTTCCCTGTCTTTTAACGGTCTACACACTACTTGCTTACTTTTATCGGAAAAGGAGAACATCAAACCTTCTACTCAAAAAAATCTCTGTTATTATTTTATGAATAGTAAATGTAAGCAGCTAGATAGCACACTAAAGATGGATTCAAAGGTGAAGCTGTCAAGAGTACTTCATACAAAATACACTGAAGTAAATGAACTACTGTTTATCGATTCTTCTGAATACAAACAGCATTGTATTAAATTGTGGTGGTGTGATACAAAGAATGTGCCAACCGAATATTACACTCACATATTCTCGCAGTTCAATTCGGCATTAGCCGAACACTGAACATTCAATTTGATGTTACAGTCGGAATGTTATTCCCACAGCTCCCTACTGCATAGGCAACAGAATACTATGCATATTTGAACATTCTATTTCATATCGTTTGATGTAAACTAAAATCAGACCCTCAGTGATTGGTTGATGAATATAAACTGTATGTATAAAAACAGCGGTTTGATTAATGAAAAATATACTTTGGCTTCCGTGTCTTGCCTTATGTTGTTACAAAACTGCAGTTTAAGATCGTTTGCCATGTTCTCATTTACCTTCATACACTGCGTTGGCGGTTATTTTCCCATAAAAGCGGAGTATAAAATTAGCTAATGAGGGTATACTTTTTTTTATTGAGGTCATTATTTAATGAGTCCAACTTGAAGGTAGGTGGGCACTTTTTTTATGACATGTCAACCACTAAACGTTCAAACAAAGTCAAGATTAAACAGTTTGAAAAATCCTCTCAATATATGATATTCATAAATCTTTTCCTGCAGCAGAGTATATTTCACGAATATCGGTTTGTCAAGATCCCTATAATGAAACTTTGGAACCTCAGTTTTATCTAGCACGTACTGAGAGCCAATTGAACTTAATACATTTTGATTTATCCATCATTTATTTCAAGAACATGAATCGTATTTTCATACAATTTTAAAAATGTGGTGAAACAAAAAAATTTTCCGAAATAACGGGACATTCTATGAACACCTCACTAGGTGTTTGGAAAATTCTATGACTAAAAATTCACATTATATAGTGTAATCTACTAATGGAAAATTAAATGTTAATGAAAAAGGCCTAAATTTCAGAAAGGAAACGAAACGATAATTAAGGATACAGATGTTTGGCGAAATAATAAACGCTTAGCTGTAGGAACGCATATGCTTATTGATGCAAGCGATGAATCTGGTAAAATTAAATGCATGAAACTAAAGTAGACAAAGTTCAGCAAGTCAGATTTTTTAACACTTGAGAAATTCTGCTTTCTAACAAATATCCATAATTCATTGGTTTCATTAAAGAAAGTCATAGGCTTTACTAAAATCTAACAATTCCAAACAATTTACTTCAATACTAAAAACCCTGCAGAAACTCTCTTAACATAACTGGGATTTCATCAGTATCCGTCTCTAAATGATTAACAGTTTAACTCAGGTTGGATAAATCAAGTATGATATAAATTCACCACATACTAAATTTCCAATAAGTGATAACTGAGAATTAACATATGTTAGACTGAAGCACAAATCTAGGCAAAGTATGCCCATCAACCACGAGTAAAACCATCGAAATTCTAAAAACCTGTTCAGACACAATTATTATATGTTCAACCGAAAATTGTAGCCACAGACAAATGGGGTCATCTATATTCCAACTTATCTTTTACTTAAAGAAAAGTAACTTATTACATCGTGTTAGCATGCGCTGAAAGCAAATATGTGCAAATAAAATGTGGTATTTGAATAAAGCAAGAACAACAGTGGTTTGTGCACAGTAATATGGTATCATCATTTATTTCGTCGGCTTCTCATCAGCTGCTTACAGCCTAAATAAATTATGAGGCTTATGTGCGGAAAAGTTATCATGATGTCAGTTGACAGAAATTTCCGCAATTAGTGTACAGCGCTCAGAAAATTGCGCTTATATAGCTTTTAAACAGGCAGTTCAAGCTTAAACAACGTAAATGTATGCATACAATGGTAAAGAAGTTACGTAATAAAGACGATAGATGCGTAAGATACTGAGTGACTAATAAATTAGGTAACAATGTACTGAGATCAACTCAAGTCATAGAAACAAGAAACAAGCGAAATTATACTATGTCAAAGAAGTGAGATAAAAGCCAAAGATTACGTAATCGAAATGAAAGAAAGAATAAAGACATCCAGTTACCAGCTCAAAGAAAGACTACTTCTTTCTGAACACAGAAATCTGGTTTGATAGAAATTGCTTCAGTAAACTTGAGGAGAATCGAGTTCCTTTGTCTATTGATAATTTTAAAGGATTTGGCGATTTCTACCTCATGACCCGTATCGAGGAGATATCTGGTAATAGCGCTGTTATAAGAGTTTGTTCCCTTGAGACGTGGGCTTTTTGGCACATGTTCAGAAAATCGGAGTTGTGCCATTCTCTCTGTTCTCCGAATGTAACTGCTCCCCCAGAATCACGTAAATTTGTATACACAGTTGGAGTTAACAAGAGAAGGGTATCTATCGACTTCTGACTGCACCAAAGAGCATGTTGTTCGATGGACTGGAACCAACTTATCTGCAGGATAGGCTTTGGCCAGTGACGTACTCAGTCTTTTGTCGACCATTACTGCAGTGTTTTCGCCTTTAAAATCTAGTTGAATGAAGGCAGACTTTCTAAACTGTGATTTGTTTGAAGTTTGAGCCTTCACATCTTCCATATGTGTTAATGAAGCTTTGAAGATAACCACTGTTTTTCAACACCTTTTCGAGAATCGTGAATTCTTCCTGTAGTTTCTTCGCAGAGCATATTCTCCTTGCTCTAGAGTACAGAGTCTTGACGAATGCTCGTTTATAGCTATTTGGACAAAAACTAAATGTAAGCATTGTCCGTTTCACGTCTGCTTTCGGCAAATTGACTTCTGGAGACTACCATCTTCTAGGAGTTGCATAGCAATCTCAAGCAATTGGAACTTTCCATCATTTTCATGTTCCATAGTAAATTCAATATTTGTATGTGCGTCGTTGAATAATCTGAGTAGGTGGGAAGCATGACTTTGATTGTTGCACACTACGAATGTGTCATTGACATATCGAAAATATGAAGTTGTTTCGTTAATTGCATACTTCAACTTTCTTTTCTCAAGGTTTGAAATGAAGAAATCTGCTAAAACAGGGCTAAGTGGACTGCCATAGCGACACCATCTATTTGTCGGTAAAGAGTGTTTTCAAAGTGGGATTGTACACCCATGGTACACATTAGCGGTATGCGTTTGAATTCCGACTGTGGCAATGGGAGGAGATCAGACTGCTAACAAATGATCTCAATGGTTTCATTGATTGGGGTCGTTGTAAACAAGGAGGTTGCATCAAATGACGCCATGAAATTATTTGAAACGTTCATATGATTCACACATTCGGCAAAATAAAATAAGGCTTTCATTGTGTGGAAGGTCAGTCGTCGACAAATGGGTTCCAACTTCTCCGCAAGCCAGCAGGCAACCTTATGTTGGGGCGAGTTGATCATCGAAAGTATGGGTCTCAGATAGACTTCTTTCTTGTGTGTCCTTAGGAGGCGATACATATTCGGCAAACGGGACCCCCAGGGTCGCAATTCACTGTACTTATTGTTGTCAATCAATTTCTTCTTTAGAAAATCTCTCAGTACGTTTGCGATGCGTTTTTCAGCTGCATATATCTTGTCTTTCTGGCAGTCATTGACTTTAAACTTCAACGGGTCATTCAGCAGAGCTTTTATCTTTGCGATATAGTCATCTCTGTTGATCAGCACCACTCCTAAGCCTTTGTCAGATCGTAGTATGACGATTTTGTCATTATTTCTGAGAGCTTTCAATGCTTTTTGATGCTCTTCAGATGGGATTTTCGAATATGACGTTGGTGAAATGAAGTATTGATTTGAAACGTCGACCAGCTTAGATTTGAACCAGTTTTTTTTGCCCTCATCAACTGTCGTTACAAGGTCATTCAGCTGATAGAATAAGTTTCCGAAATGACCTGCTACATCGGTTCGTTTGACAAAGTTATTTGGGATATGAAGTAAGAGTATTGAAGTATATAAAGTAAGCATTACGTTTTTGCTAGATCACATTTAGCTCAGAAGCATAATCAGATAAAGGTAAATTATCCTCCATACATTTTTGAATTCAGAGAAAAGAATATAGATAATAACTACTGTCTGTAGGGGAGTGACATAGCCCAACAGACTTTTCGATTTTAAATCTCCGCACGCTATCAGTACTAAGGTTTCTGTTGTTCTTGGTCTTTCTAGGAAACCACGTATACTTATTTCTGATCAAAAGTAAAAAAGAATATAACGAAAAAAATTTTAAAATAGTTATCTAACAGATAAACTTCTTTTGTTAAGTGAAAAGTTGTATTCACAGTGACAGAATGAACACCTTCGAGTGAAAGTATTATCTCTTACAGATTGTATACTACTGAAGAGTTCAGAGGGGTATTCAACAAGTATACCAGGAAATATATTATTTCATTCGATAGGCAAAGTGGAACTATTTAATCCTGTTTGTAAGATAAAATGCTTGAACTGAGAATGGGGCTATACACAGAACAGACTTATTATAAAATAAAGATTGAAGGCAACACTGAAGTATATTATATCGATATGTTAGAAATCTAGCACAACTCCAATAACTGAAAAACGCTTCACCAACAACTGTACACATCATGTTGATCGGTTACATGATCTATTGTAATAACGTTGAGATTGTTCAAGGAAGTTTCGAAAATTGAAAGGAACAGTTCATAAGCAAATCACTTCTTATCAAATGAGATCAAAAGCACTTCAGGAGAAATAAAGCAACCATTTTCGGGTTAATTTGCATTTTCTGTTAAATTGGTTATTTTGAACAGAAATGCTTGAACTTTGTGGAAATGACAGCTCCTAGTATGGTCTCTTCGACGATGTCTTAGGAATTAATGTGAAGTTGACGGCGGCTAGCAGTGGAACTGAAGATGAGAATTACGTCCTAATTGGGATTCTTCAGATGGATGCACCTGCACTCAGAGTAATATGTGCTGAAGAATCTTGGCGGAGTAAATAAACGTCAACTTTTAGATTGTCAGTTCCGTTTTTACAATTGTATACCAGTAAAAAAATAATCCTGTTTTGTTTCTCACTAATTTTTGAACTCCAAAATAACGCGTTGACCTACAAAACTTAGGCATATTAAGTGTTTCTCAGTTAGTTGTAATATAGATTTTGTTCTGTCTAGAGGTAATCATCCATTCAATTAATTCAGCAGAAAGTTTAAAAGCTTTAAGTTGAATATATACAGTCAGTCATCTTTCGTTTTAAGGAAATTTGCAATATATATGTGCGCAGAAATTATTGAGAGAGTAAACCATAATACTTAAAGGAATATATGGGTAGTATTTGCAGTTTCCTAAGGGGCATAAAATAAGGCTCCAGTAATCACGGAAAGATAGACTTTTCCTAATCAATAAAACTACACAGCCAAAAAAGCATGATAAACAGTGATCAAACACTTACTTTTTTGTATTCTATTTGTGCTTTATTGAGTCGCTCTGAAAAGCATTTATGATTTAATCGAACAGCTTCTAATTCTACATTGGCATTTTCAATTGCACTTTCTAACTGTTTAGCTGTTTCCGCCAGTTCTAATCGTTTACGATAGCCATCCTGTTTTGTGTTCTCGTATTCCTGAAGTTCTCTTTCGAGATCTACCATCATTTTGCTTCTAAGCGCAGATTCCTTTTATAGAAAAAGATTAGAATATAGGCATCTGGGATATATCGTTAGGAACAGACCAAAGAAGAAATATGCAGGATATATGGTTAGAGGCATCGTAATGCTGTGTGTCTATTTTATGCAGTAAATTATAACAGTATTCTTAAACTCTCTCTTAGTGCATTTGTTCTTTTGGTTTATCTTTATTATGCAAGTGTTCAAGAACACAAATATTTCATCTGTTTATCAATTGGAACCAGATACTTACGATGCTGGGTACAAAATATTTGGATGAACAAGTATAACTAGTTTTTCAACAAATTGTCTGTCTGTCTGTCTGTTTTCGACATAGAACTTTGCACAGATGTGCGACAGTTCAAGTCGCCACACTCCCTCCTTGTAGCACACAAACCAAGAGAAGAAAGTACAAGAAATTCATAATAGAGACAGTAAACAGAGGTGTGAGACAAAGGAATAGTAATAACGAAGAACAATATAGTTTCATTGGAAATCATAAGTCACAGGGAGTGGATGCATCTGCGCTATGCATTGAGAACGATTTTGAGCCACGTCATCAATTGTTTCCAGCCATTGGTTTTTACCGTCCCGAGCACCTCAACCCGGAAGTCTACACCTTCCTACGTGGCTTACACTAAATGTTGTAGATTTCATTGACTGGTGCCATGTTTTTGTTTGACCGCCACTTGCTCTTTTCCAGCCTGACCCTATGTCAGCTATCATTGCCCATTGTCGAGGAAGGCGATGACTAAGCATATATGACACATGTCCTAACCATCTCACTCGATGTAGCTTCACAGCCTCGTCTATTGATTTCTCCTCCTTACCTAGAACTCGACGCCTAACCTCAATACTTCTCACCTTATTACACCACTTAACATGGGAGATAGAACGCAGACACCTATGATCAAAGACAGCTAACCAGCCTTTTCATGTTTTCCACTCTCAATGCACCAGGTCTCACAGCCATGAAGGAGGGCGGAGCAGACTGATGAACAGTACACACGCCCTTTGGTGGATAGCCGGATATCACATCTACGCCAGAGACGGCGTAAACTGGCATATGCGAAACTAGCCCTCTGTATCCGTGCTGAGATTTCGTCGGAGATCAACCCGTTGGCACTGGCTGATGGTACTTCCCAAATAAGTGAAGTGGTCAACATGCTCTACCACTTCACTCCCTATTTCTAAGTTAAGAGTCAGTGTGGTCCTGTCCTAAAACATCATCTTGCATTTGGCGGGAGCGAATTGCGTGCCAAACATTTGCGGATTGCAACTTAAGGTGTTCAGAAGACTGTGCATTTTGTTAGCGTCTTTACTTAGCAGGGAGGACTATGTCGTCCGCATATTCTAAGTCAACGGGATTATTCCCTGTTAGCAATTCAATCCCTGAGTCGCTGAAGTCACTTAGGGTTAAGTCAATTAACACATCTATGATGAAGTTGGATAGAAAAGGGGATAATGGGCATCCTTGACGGACACCACTAGTCGTCATCACTTCAGATGACAACTCGCCGTAAGCCCTCACCTTGCTGCATCAGTACGAGTAGAGTGCCTTAATCAGTGCAATGTATTTTCTCGGGATTCCCTTTACAGTCAAGCATCGCCAGAGAACCTCTCGGTCGACAGAATCGAATTCCGCCTTTAGGTCAAGAAATATAATGGTTGTTGGACGCCGGTAGGAATGTCTATTTTCCAGAACCTGTCGAAGAGTGGAGATATGATCAATACACCCTCTTCCTGGTCTAAAGCCTGCCTGGTTCTCTCGTGTTTGTGCCTCCCTAGCACCATTTAGTCTTCGCAATATTATTGAGTCTAGGACTTTAGATACTATATTAGTTAAGCTAATCCCTCTGTGATTATCACAGGAACACTTGTCTCCCTTCTTGTATATGGGGATAATCAGTGACTTACACCAACCCGATGGGACTTCTTCTGATTCCCAGACGCTGCCTAGTACCTCAGTTAATCCGGACAGTAAGCTGTCTCCACCGTACTTAAATACCTCTGGCGTCATTCCATCAGGTCCGCTGCTTTGCCTAGTTTCAGATTGGTGACAGCTTTAGTAACCTCAGTTAGTGACGGAGGACCTGTGTCTTTATCCCATTCAGGGAGGGGTTGGATGTTCGGCAGGTTAAGCGTGGCTGTAGGCCAATTAAACTGCTCTTCATAATGCTCTTTCCAGCGTTCCAGTCGTCTATGCTGGGAGCTAATTATAGTGCCATTTTTCTCCGAGATTGTTACACTTATCATTTGCCTTTAGCCACCTGTTTCCCTGATAAGCCTAAATAGTTGTCTGGTGTTGCCAGTCGCCGATGCCTTTTCCATCTCTTTCGCTTTTGTCGCCCACCACTGTTCAACAATATTTTAGTGTAATTGATGGTAAATATAAACAAACCAAAGTCGACAGAGAGAATCAAATGGGAAGATAAATAATAGCTGAGTATATGCTGACAATTCATACACATGCTTGCAAATAAAGACATCTCTAGTTGAAAAGTCCTGTCACTTGTAACCAAGATATTTTTATCTATAATTGCCTGGTTTATAATGTACTGGAAGTACTAATGCTGATAACCACGGCTTTTTCTTACCTTAATGTCAAAAAACAGTAACTCATTGGTGTGAAGTTCACCTAAGACATATAGAAACTGTACTGCTCACTATTACCTCTAACTAATCATGACAACCAGTAGTCAAGTTGTGTCTAACTGCACATATATCTGGTGAATTCAAAAGAGATTTCCAAAGGTCACACGAATGATTATTAAAGTTACTATATAGTTGTTGTGTGTTGTTTTACACCTGTCTAACAGTATAACCTATTTCCTCACTGAACACATACAACTGTGACTATGAAAACACATTTATATTATAATAAAGGTTTTTGTATTTCCCAATGAATGAAAAACAAAACGACATTGTTTTTACTGACGTTTCGCTATTTTAATTCATGAATAATTCCCATTCGAACATTAATAGACAAAATACAAGTAGTTCAGCGAAGAGTCTCTTTTCGGCGAATTCATTTTCATAGCTGTACAATCGCAAAAAACGTCTAATATCAGAAGCACTTCATATCAAATGGAATCCAAATTGCCTGAATAATGACGGACTAAAACAGAATCTGACCTGGCTACAACACCCCCCTCCCCCATGAAGTAGCAAAATCAACACAAATGTGATAAGCAAGTTCACTATGTAAAAACACTACTTTCATAATTCTACACACTGATAAAATCCAACAATCTACACTTGATTTTGTTATCTTTACCAATTCGCCAACTTGACAACCAAAAATGACTCCAGACTAACGAACGGTGATCAAGTTAGTAAACTTTGTTGAATTGAACTTTTTGATTTTCCCGTCGATTGATTGCAACGAAGTGCTCGGTCTCAGGTTGACATGTTGGCTTCTTGTGCAGATGATTCGACGATGTCTGCGTATTTAATTAGTATACAATTGGTGGATGGTGGCTAGCAGTGGAATCCAGGATGCGCATTTCGTCATATTTGGGACTCGTCAACTGGATGTACCTGCATTTCTCACCGAGTGATGATGATGTTCTCACCGAGGCTCGAACCCAGTACCCATAGTTTCAAACGCCAAAGCGTTATCCACTAGACGACTTGGGCCACGAGAGCCACCTCTTGTGCAACGGGTCATATTAATTATTGAATTGAATTTTTGATTTTCCCGTCGATTGATTGGACCGAAGTGCTATTACCTTTGATATTTGGTTTGAACGATCTTCATTGTTATTTTGACTTTCAATATGTCCTTTTAAGTTGAACTAAGTCTATATTTTTCTCACCCCCTAACTCTTTGTTATATATATACACTGAGATTTTGTAAATTCCGGTTTAATAATACTTTGAGAAAGCTATTAGCATTAAATAGCGAATCGTCAGTAAAAACAATATCGTTTTGTTTTTCATTCATTGGGAAATACAAAAACCTCTATTATAATGTATATATGGGTATTTTGTATATATATATATATATATATATATATATATATATATATATATATATATATATATGGTGATCTCTCTTTCTGTTTGCTCTCTTAATCTGTGACCATATCACTTGTATGAACTTGTCTCCTTTATCAATGTATATTCTCCTTATATTATATTATATATAATATGAGTGTTTGTTGATAGTCCGTTGCTTGGTGACATATATCCATATATGGTGGTTGTTGACATGTCTGCTATATTTCGCTATGTATATATGGATCGATACTTCATTATAATTAGCCATTCATGTTAAGTCTGTCTAATGATTGTTCACATCCTTGTCATATATATTTCGTTCTCACAATTTGTGTGACTTACTGACTTACTTACTTTGGTGTGATACCACTTATTGTTTCTCCTTGTGTTTGGAAAATAGAAGTATCATCGCAAACCTAGTGGTCTTCTGATTTCCGCCTTCTTGCGTCAGGACTATTAAATTCTCGACCAGTCCATAACAATAATTTAGCGACGAGTACATAACAGACTTTATTATATATTATTATTGTATCTTTTAGTTCCTAGAGGAACATAGGGCTTCAGCTGCGCACCTCCATTGCCTTCGGTTTTCTGACAACTTTTTCACCCTGCTCCAGGTCTGTCCACATGCTTTCATCTCCTCCTCGCATGACCTCCTCCAAGTCACCCTTGGACGACCAACTCGCCGCCTCCCTTTCGGGTTCCACTCGAGGGCTTGTCTAGTGATGTCACTTGATGGTTTCCTCAGCGTATGGCCAATCCATCTCCATTTCTTTCTGCCTATTTGTTTCACAATCGGTTCCTGATTGGTTCGCTCCCAGAGATCCCTGTTGCTGATCTTTTCTGGCCATCTGATCTTGAGTATTGCGCGGAGACAGCTGTTAATGAAGGTTTGAAGTTTGTTTGAGATGCTCTTTATGACTCGCCAAGTCTCTGATCCGTATAGTAGCACTGACTTCACATTGGAGTTGAAAATCCGGATCTTATTTTTGATGCTGAGTGCTGTT